AAATGTAGACGGGAACTGTGACATGACGAGAAGAGCTGAATCCAGCGGCAGCGACGAGAAACCAGATGTCTTCTATTCAGCCAGAATAGAATATTCAGCCAGGCTTGTTCTCAAATTCCTGTTTAAATATAGCTACTTTTTCTATAAGAATATTTATGGAACGCAATAAATATTTTTATTTATTTCAAAACGCACAATAATTTCATTAAGGCTCTTATTCAGATTAATCAATCTTTTCTGGGGACTGGGAGGTAGCTTGGTGAGGGGGCGCTTGCTTTGCAAGTGAGGCCTGACTTCCGTCCCTGGTACTGCAGAACATTTTTTTTCCTGAACTTCCTGTTACTTTTCAGGTAGGGAACGTTATCAGATGTAACACATATAAGCAGGTTGTTGGTATCCTCAAAGTCAAATGTATTTAAAGGGACCCAGGGACCCGAGCCTAGTACAGGGGGAGGGCACTTGCCCTGCATGCTGCTGACCTGAATTAGATCACCCAGCATCCCACATAGTCCCCGAGCATCACCAGGTGTGATTCCTGAGTGCAGAGCCAGGAGTGAGCACTGAGAATGGTCCAAAAACAAATGGGATCCAGAAAGAGTTGGAAACTGCTATGTTTGTATTTTGGCCACTTCTGGGCGTGCACAAGGCTTACTTCCAGCTCTGCCCTCAGGAAGCACTCCTAGGACTCCTAGGTTTGGCAGGCCATGTGGGATTATGGGGATTGAATTTGGGTTGGCTGCGTACAAGACAAGTCCCTTACACACTACTATCTCCCCGTCCCCAAGAACTGATATCTTAGATAACAAACACTTTTTTTTTTTTGCAGGGGTCGTGGGGGAAAATCATGTTCAGTTGGTTATCAGGGCTGACTCCTGGCTCTGTGCTCAGGGGTCACTCCTGGTGGCACTTGGGGAAACCTTTTTTTTTAATTAGGAGTACTGCTATTTATTCAGCCATTGATTAAGCTGATTGAATTGGGCATGAACTCCCTCCACATTGAATATCTGTGAGATAGACCATTACAAAGCTGTTCACAATTGGGTCTCAGTCACACAATGATCCAGCACCCAACCCTCTACCAGTGTACTTTTCCCACCACCAATGTCCCGTTTCCCTGCCACCATCTCCCCAAATCCTACCCCCATCCCCAGCCTCCCTCTATGGGAGGCACTTTCCTTCTTGCTCTCTCCTTTATTTTTTTCACTTAATTAATTTTTTGCTCTCTCCTTTTCTCGGGAGACTGTATGCAGTGCTGGAATGGAGCCCGGTGGCTGCACTCAAGGGCCTTCCCCGCTATGCTCTTGACTTTTTCTTTGAGAACAAAATCACATGTGGTTGTATTCCCCTTTTACTATTTTTCCAAGTCTCAACTGTGCACATTAATTATAACTTTTAGCGATTTCTTTTTCACAAAGAAAATCACAGGGCTAAGTGGAAGACGTGTTTTACCACACATGTCAGCAGAGAACAAAGCTCTGAACATGGGGCTGGAGCAATAGCACAGCAAGTAGGGCGTTTGCCTTGCACACGACTGACCCGGGTTCGATTCCCAGCATCCCATATGGTCCCCCGAGCACCGCCAGGAGTGATTCCTGAGTGAATGAGCCAGGAGTAACCCCTGTGCACCTCCAGGTATGACCCGAAAAGAAAAAAAAAAAAAAGCTCTGAACACAAAGAACATGATTTTCTATAAAACCAGACCCCTACCCTTTGTACTTTTTTCTTTTAACTTGAGGGCGTTTGGCCCAGTCCTTGTGGTGCTCAGGGGTTATTCCTGACTCTGTGCTCAGGAATCATATGAGGTGCTGGGGATCAACCCCCAAGTCAGCTGCATGCAAGGTAAGACTTAACTGCCTGCACTATCTGGTCCCCTGAATATTCTTTTTATGGGGTATGGCTCCCCAGCAATGCTCAGGGCACCCAACCTGGATCCTGATGAGGAAAAAAATTTAAAACTATAAGAGTTCTTAACTACGAGGAATGTGAAAACAGAAACAAAACATGCAGGGGAGAGTTAGGAAGCGAAAGTTGATGAAATCACCCTGAAAGGTACGAGAACACCAATGCATCCACTGAATGGTTACTGACGGGCACATATAACAGACAGTAACGTGGGGTAACTGACTTTTGCCTTCCTGGTCTAAGTGCTGGGGTGCTGGGAGCTGGTGTCCTGCAGGCCCTGACCGTGACCTGTGCGTGCCCTGGTTAGCACAAGTTTAAAAGACCATAGTGTCATGATACTTGAGTCAAGACCCTCAGAGGCAGCCCAACTCCACCCCCACCTGGGTCTCCTGTGTCCTTCCTTAGGGTATGAATCTACTTTTTCCAGGCAGGGGAGACCCACACACCCAGCGGTGCTCAGAGGCTTCTTGGTGGCCAGGTTGAAACTCAGGTTGGCTGCATGCAAGGCCGGTGCTTTCCTCGCCAGGCTCTAATACTAATACTACCTTCTCCTCAGAATCCGTATCCGCCCTCAAGAAAACTAGAATTGGGGCTGGAGCAATAGCACAGTGGGTAGGGCATTTGCCTTGCACACGGCCAACCCGGGTTCGATTCCCAGCATCCCATATGGTTCCCTGAGCACTGCCAGTGGTGATTCCTGAGTGCAGCGCCAGGAATAACCCCTGTGCATCGCCGGGTGTGACCCAAAAAGCAAAAGCAAAAAAACAAAACAAAAAAATAAAAAACTAGATTTACTCAGAAGGAAACTAGGAGTCTAGAAGCTTCTAGATAATAACAGTCAGAACACGAGCTTTCCCAGTGCCCAGGTAAGAGCTTTATTGGATTGACTACATCAGTGAGAGCTGAGACGTGGCAGGAACACTGTCCCACAGGGCTGAGGTTTGCACAACAGGATGAGGCACCTTCCCTGCCCGCTGACGGCGCATCTGTGGAACTGCACACGGCCCGCTCTCATCTGTGCTCATCACATACAAAAGCAACATCTGTGGTTGACATTTCCCATCTCTGGAAATCTTCTGGGAGGCTTTCAGTTTGACAGGAGCGCAAGGTTTTGACCTGCTTCAGCTCTATTATAGGCAAAAACAGACCCCTCAGGCCTCTGCTTGAAGCGAAGTTGTGTGAAGACCGAGCACGCAAAGAACATCAACACACACAAAAATAAGATCTCTGCATGAAGTAACGGCAAGTTTATAAATTTCTTTTCATTAAAAAATGATCTTAATTTTTATTATCTCTCCATATATAAGCCATAAAATATATCTGTAAAGACGACTGACAGCGTACTTTAAAATATAAGAAATGAACAAGTATAAATTCTGATTCAATGACACAGCTCCTCTGAGTTACTAAAACAAACCAAAAAAAAAAAAAGTACAAAATTCTATGAGGGAAAATTTTAAAAGATTCTGATTGAAATTTACTAGAAAGAAGCCAGAACCTCGAATACGAGTTTCCAGTTTGGCCCCAGGTGAATTTCTGCAGCTGGACCCAAGAAGCTTCTGGAGCGGGCTTAAGGCAGGCTGCAGTGAAGTCTGGCTCCTGTGCAGTGTGCAAGGCTCCCCAGCCAGAGGGGAGAAATGAAGTCAGTGTGTGGACCGTGGGGCCTTGAAATGCTATTTCGGAAGAGCTTAGGTAACCCGGCCGTGTGCTTTTCTCCATGATTCAGCAAGTTCCAGAGTCCCTGAGCAGTGCACAGGGGCTGAGCATGGACAGTCTTTATCTGCGGTGATGCGCGGGATGTCCTCCCGGTCACGGAGAGCGACAGACTCCAAGCAAATATCACAAAGGCAGCCGACGACGCCCGCGCAGTACCTGGCCCTCAGGACGTGGCCCTGCGCCTGGCTTTCGACAGAGCGCTGGGGAAGAACCCTGAAATTTAGGAATGGGTTTGACTCAACAAAACGCCTGCAAAAGGAAGAAATCTTCCTACCTCCAGGGAGAGGCCGGGCCGCTCAGCTCGTGGCTACTTCTTTGTCTGCTTTTGTGATGCTGGCACCAGGGCTCCAGCCCCCGACCCTCTGACCATTTCTTTCTCTTTCTTTCTGGCTTAGTTTTGGGGCTACACCCTAGGATGCTGGGGGCTGTTTCTGGCTCTGCTCTAGGGCTTCTCCTGTGCCTGCCTGGCCTCAGCCTCTCTCTTTCTTACACACACACACACACACACACACACACACACACGCCCCCCCCCTCTGCACATTTCTCTTTTTCTTTAACTTATTTTTAATTTTTAATCTATTTTGGTTTGGGGGTCACACCCAACGATGCCCCGGGCTTACTCCTGGCTCTGCTCTCAGGAATTATTCCTGGCAGTGCTCGGGGGACCATATGAGATGCCAGGGCCGGCCGTATGCAAAGCAAATGACCTACCTGCTCCAGCCCCTCTTTTTCTTTTTTGAAGACAATTTTACCTGGGACATCAAGGGAGGGAAAGACAAAATACACGGGCGAGAGAACATGAGCTTCCACTACATTTTCGGGCCACAACCAGCAGTGCCTTAACTCCTATATGTTTCCTGGCAATTCTTAGTAGAAAAATAGCTTTCTTCTTCTTTGTCTTCTTCTTTCAAACAGGCCACACTAGAGTGCCCAGGGGCTGCCAAGCAGGACCAGGGACCAAACTCGGCCTCACATGTGCAGTAACAGGTGGGCTGTCTCCCGAAAATCAGTTTTGTTTTTTAACATGGCACAAAATGGTACGAGTTATAGCTCTAAGCATCACAAGCTCACCCGACCTTTCACAGAGAACCACGGGAAGAGATGGCAGGGGATTAAAGCTGGAGGAGGGAAATCTTTTTCTTTTTCTTTTGGTCACACCTGGCGATGCTCGGGGGTTACTCCTGGCTCTACACTCAGGAATTACTCCTGGCAGTGCTCGAGGGACCACATGGGGTGCTGGGGATTAAACCCGGGTTAGCTGTGTGGGAAATCCTTTGGAGACTGCTGCCCCCACCCAGGGAAGAAAGCGGTGGATCTTCGGGGCGGACAGGAACTGCTTAAGGAGACACGGCAAGATACAGCGAGACACAGCGTGCAGCGGCTCAGCCGAGCCCCGCCTCGATGCCGCGGATCCTCCGGGCCAGCTGGATGTCCTTGGGGAAGAGGGTGACCCGGCCCGCGTGGAGGGTCAGGAGGTAGGCGTCCTCGAAGAGGTGAACCAGAAATGCTTCGGCTGCCTGGGCAGAGAGGAAGAGATGCAGGACAAGGATGGAAACGCAAGGAGCTGGCTCGGACAGGGGACAGAATCTGGCCCACACCCTGCTGCCACTGAGGGAGTGGCCAGCCTCCGACCCCAGTGGGCTCCCTGTCCCTCTCTCCGAGGAGGCAGGACTCATGCACCCTGGGAGCACCTCTGGGTCCCCCCTTCTCACCTCCTGTAAGGCCAACAGCGCGTGGGCCTGCCAATTAAAGTCCATGCCCCGGGTGAACTTCCCACATATCTCTCTGACCTGTGGAAGGTGGGCGGGGAGCAAAGGAGAGGGGTGGAAATGAGAAGGAGATTGAAGGGCCAGGAAAAAAGCAAAAGCGGGTAAAAAAGCTGCATCAGACTTGCCTGATGCAGCTGACCCCTCGGGTTGTGTCCCTGGCACAGCGTAAGGTCCCCTGAGCACAGCCAGGAGGGGTCGGTCCCTGGAGCACAGAGCCAGCGGCAACCCTTAAGCACAACCAGGCCTGGCCCAAGCTATTCCCAACTCCCCAGGGGAAAAATAAAATGTAAAAACAAAGGATTTCGGAGCCCGAGCATAGAACAGTGGGTAGGGCGTTTGCCTTGCACATGGCTGACCCGGGTTCAATCCCCGGCATCCTAAATGGTCCCCCGAGCACTGCCAGGAATAATTCCTGAGTGCGGAGCCAGGAGTAACCCCTGGGCATTGCTGGGTGTGACCCAAAAAGCAAAAACAACAACAACAACCCCCCTCCCAAAAAAAACAACCACAAAACACCCCAAAAGATTTCCAAAGGGGAGAGAGTGGGCCGGGGAGGTAGCTCAGTGGGTGGAGCACGTCTTTGCAGGTTGGAGCCCCCTGACCACCAGCACTGCCCAACGCTGCTGAGTGAGGCACGGAGATGAGAGCCCCCGGCCAGAGGCTTGTGCATCTCCAGTGACTGACGCTCTCCTGTCCCGTTCCTGACCCTGTGTCCTGGGACACGCCCAGCAGCGACTGGGCCAGGGATTTAGGGGGCAGGAGGAGCAATGGGGTGATGGGTGGCTGCAGGAGGGGACCCGTCTGTCACAGCCAACACGGCGTCCGGGGGCAGTGGGTGAGAAGCCGCCTCCTTCAGGACCAGCACCCCTGAGCCATGGAGGCAAGCGTGGGTCCTGGGACCCCCCCCAACACCGGGGAGAGGGGGGAGTGGGGGCAGGGGGGTGGGCAGACAGGGCGCTCCGGGGCTCACCAGTCGGCTGAAGGGAAGCTTCCGTAACAACAGGTCCGTGCTTTTCTGGAGGGCGCGGATCTCCCTCAGGACACGGAGGCGGGCTCTTCGATGATGGGTGGGTGCTTTGGGGCAAGAGTGCGGGTCAGGGAGAAGCCCAGCACAAAATGGCCAGGGAGGACTCGTGGCGGGCTGCCCCGAGCTTACCTGGCTTCCTGCCCACCCCCACCACAGAAAATAAAGACCCTCGGTGCCCCCTTGGACACCTACCTTCTTTATGTAGACAAACAGCACCCCAGGGCTTTCTTTTGCCCCTCCCCCCGACCCCTCCACTGGACAGCCCAGGGCCCCGTGCTCCAGCATTGTCTACTTCAGAAAACTCTACGCTAGACATATACTCGGGGCAAAAGCAGAAATTTTTGTCAGGTTTTTTTAAAAAAATTGACTCATAGTTTTTGGGCCACACTCAGAGGTGGTCAGGGTTTTCTCCTGGCTCTGCACCCAGGAATTACTCCTGGTGGGCTTGGATCAAACCTGGGTCAACTGTGTGCAAAACAAGTATTCTGCCTGCTGTGCTATGGTTCCGGCCCCTTAGTCAGTTTTCTTGATCACAGTTATCTACGGCAGCTAGAAAACAGCAGATGGTGCCAACAAGGGTGCGTCAATAATGAATGGTGGGGGCCGGAGAGATAGCACAGAGGGTAGGGTGCTTGCCCTGCACACTACCGACCTGGGTTCGATCCCCGGCATCCCGTATGGTCCCCCAAGCACCGTCAGGAGTAATTCCTGAGTACAGAGCCAGGAGTAACCCCTGAGTATCTCTGAGTGTGACCCAAAAAATAAGACAAAACAAAACAAACAAAAGAAAAGAATGGTCCATGGAGGATCTTGCTGACCCTTGTGAATGAATGCCAGTTCTTCCCAGCAGCCTTCCCTGACTCCCAGGCCGTGATCTGGGACCGGTGACATTGAGGACATTGAGAGACGGGTGCCCGGGAGGGCATTCCCGGCTGTGTCTGCCTCCCGACCCTCAGCTCTCCATCCACAGTCAGTGGAGGCGGCAGCCTGATAGGAGTGGCCAAGGCCGGCAGAAGCACAAGCAGAGATCAGCAAATAGTCTCGGCCCAAAACAGGGCTGGGGGGTGGACAGGGGCTCAGGCGCTTGCCACGCTCGCAACCAACCCCAGCTCCATCCCTGGTACCACGGAGGGTCCTGAGCCCAGAGCCAGAAGTGATCTAGGCTCTGGGGTGGGGAGGCCACCAGGCAGGGTCATGGGGAAGAGATGAGCTAAACACGCTGTGGTCAGGCCCGGAAAGGTGCTCAGGCTTGACCCTCACGCACGGCGAGCCTGGGAGGAGATTTCAGCAGCACAGGGGGTTCCTCGTATGTCAAAGAGGATTCTGGGGACCGGAGTGATAGGACAGCGAGTAGGGAGTTAGCCTTGCATGCGGCCGACCCGGGTTCGATCCCCGGCATCCCATATAGTCCCCCAAGCACCAGGAGTGATTCCTGAGTGCAGAGCTAGGAGGAGCCCCTGAGCATCACTGGGTGTGACCCCCAAAGGAGAAAATAAATAAATAAAAAAGACCATCCTGGCTGCTGAGTCAGGAAGATGGAACTGACGCACGAGGGGAAGGTGTGAGAGGCTGGGCCGGGGCGCGGGAGGCTGGGGCTGGGCTGGTTGGAGCAGCAATGGCAGAGGGAAGCCGTCGAGGGGGGCATCTGGAGGTGGACTTGGCTGGGATAGGATGGGGGAGGGGCAAGGTACGAGGGAGAGCCCGGGTTTCTGGCCTAATAGGGTGTGAGAGAGACTGCTGACTGATGGGGGAACCAAGAGGGGCCCAAAGGTGGGAGTTAGGTGCTGAGCCTGGCATACTGAGTGTATGCAGGAAGACAGACAGACGGTTGGGTGGAAATACAGGGTCAGAGATAAAAAGACGACCTGACGCTGTCAGGCCCAGATAGCCCAGGGGGTCAGGCGTCACCCTGCACACGGCTGACTCCGGTTCAGTCCCCTGCCCTGCATATGGTCCCCTGAGGACTACTAGTGACCCCAGAGCATAGCCAGGAAAAAAATACAAGGGCTGTAAGGGAATACGAAGAGTTGAAGGGAGAGGGGAGTGCGGTTATTTTGGAATCAGAAATAAGAGCACATCTGGCGAAGGCCAAGGTGGGCAGTTTGAATTGAACTCAGTGCGGGTGGAGAGGGCGGCAGTTTTCTGGGAAGCGGGGGACAGTACAACCAAGGGTCAGCAGTGGGCGGGGAACTGAGTATGACCAAGGGTCGGTGGAGGAGGAGGGGAGAGAGTATGAGAGGATCAGACTATAGGAGAGCGCAGGTAGTCTCCGTAAACGCCTTCAGATTAAATCATCAAGTCAAGGACGGCGCCACCAGGCCACACCACCGCGCACTCACTCTCCTTCCAACCCAGTCTCAGGCCTCACCAACACAACAGGGTGCTGAACGCAGGAAAACGGGAGAGACTCAAAAGTCATCAGCGGCAGACAACTAAAGTGACTACTTAAAATGCTCCACCCCAGTACTGCATAAGGCCCAGAGGAATGTTTGAACCGCCTGGAGCGCCTGGGAGGCCGGGGATCCATCCTTGGCATCGCATGGGTCTCCTGAGCCCCACTGGGGGCACCCTTGGGTGCCAAGGCAGGCGTGGCGACTGATAAAATAAGAGGCCGTATTAGAATGAACTAGATAACTTAGCAAGTGGGCATGGTGTGGGGAGGGGGGGGAATCCCGTGTGGCTGGGGGACCCCGCGCCTGGGTAAGGTGCTCGTGGGTGTGGCCTGGGGACTCCCTCGCGGGGGGGGGGGGCGCATTCGCACAGCCAGACCCCATCCCCACCCCCACCCCGGGAACGACTGAACGTGCACGTGGACCAAGAACGTGTGTCTGCGGGGCCACGGAAGGGCCCAGGCTGGGTCTCCACGGCTTTGGCTGAGCTGGGGTGGGTGGGGTTCTGGGCATCCAGAGCAGTCCCTGCTGGCAGCGCAGCGTGGAGGGGTCTGCGGGTGCAGGGTCTCGGGGTGGGGGGCAGCCCTTCCCCGGGCCTCAGTTTCCCGGCCCATTACCTGGACGCGTGTCTCGCCGCCGGGTGCGGGGGCTCGGGCTCGGCTCGCGCCTCCTCGGGGTGTCGGTCTTGCGTCTTCGGCGCGGACCCATGGTGGCCCGGGCTTCCGGGCCGGCGGTTCCGAGCCCCGGGGTGCGCGGGCGACGGCGGGCGGCGCGGCGCCCTCCGAGCCCAGGCACACGCCCGGCGTTTTTCAAACTTCAGTAGAGACGCCCCGTGTCTGCTTCTGGAACGCCCCTGGCGCAGAGCGACGGCGGGTGGGACCAATGAGCGCGCGGGCCGGGAGACCTACCGCGGCGGTGATAGGGGAAAGGGGCGAGCAGCTCAACCAATAGACACTTAGAGAAGCGGAGGGAGGCGGGACTTCTTGCAGTCCCGCCTCGGAAGTCGCAGAACTTAGCCCCGGAGAGGAGTCTTGGGTTTTTGCAGGTGCCGGCGGTGCGGTTGCGGGGTGCGTTTCTCAAGCATTTTATGTCTCCCCCTACCCCACCCCACCCCCCGTCTAACCCTGGATGACTTTTAAAGCAGGGGACTTAATGCGACACCCGCTGGTCGTGTCCAGGACCCTATTGGACAGCTGGATGAGCTGCAGGAACGGGAGCGAGGTCCTGGAATAGTCAGACACTTGCCTGTCTCCAGCGGTTGGGGGGCGAGGGGCGTCCTCGGTATTCCACATCAAGTCAGACCCACAGCAGAGAGGCAGAGTGGGCTTCCAAGGGGATCTCAGACAAGTCCCCGCTCTCCCCTTTCTTTCTTTCTTTCTTTCTTTCTTTCTTTCTTTCTTTCTTTCTTTCTTTTTGCTTTTTGGGTCACACCTGGCGATGCACAGGGCTTACTCCTGGCTCTGCACTCAGGAGTTACTCCTGGCGGTGCCCAGGGGCAATATGGGATGTTGGGAATCGAATCCAGGTCAGCCGTGTGCAAGGCAAACGCCCTACCCGCTGTGCTATCTCTCCAGCCCCATCCCATTTCTTTTCTCTTTCCTTCCTTCCCTTCTTTCTTTTTCTTTCTTTCTTTCTTTCTTTCTTTCTTTCTTTCTTTCTTTCTTTTCTTTCTTTCCTTTCTCCTTCCTTCCTTTCTTTCTTTCTTTCTTTCTTTCTTTTTTTGGATCACACCCAGCAATTCTCAGGGGTTATTCCTTGCTCATGTGCTCAGGAATAACTCCTGGCGGTGCTTGGGGGACCACACGGGATGCTGGGGATCGAGCCAGGATCAGCTGCGTTCAAGGCAAAAGTCCTACCCCCTGTGCTATCACTCTGCCCCTGCTGTCCCATTTCTGGCTGAGTGGTGTCCCAAAGCCTGGGTCCCCTGGAGTTGGAGGGGACTCCAATTGGCCTGTCGAGTTGGAACAGAAATCATTTTTAAAATGTGGAAAGATAGTACAAGGGTTCAGGTGCTTGCTTTGCACACAGACGACTGGGGTCTGATGGCTGGCATCAGCAGGAGTGCTCACTGAGTGCAGACGGGTGAGCCCTGAGCACTACCAGGCAGAGAGGGACTTTAGCTAGTTTATTGTGGTGATTCTTATACATGGATTGAATCATTAAGTTGTGTGCCTGAAATTAACATAATACTACATGTCAATTACATCTCAAACAGAAGCGAGCCCTGGGCCAGAAGGCCCTGGAAGATGGTCTTTCATCCACAGAAGTTCTGGTCATCCTTCCCAACTCCATCTGGCACCTTCTCTGAAATGCCATCCAAGGTCCTCACGTTTGGACTTGGGGGGAGGGGCGATTTTGCATCATTTCCCAGGAGAATGAGATGAGGGTGCCGAGCTGGTATTTCCGTGAGGGAGCCAGTGAAGCCTTGGCCATTAGAGGAGAAGACCAGCAGCACAGTTAGTTATTAATCACTTAATCACTTAACTTCCCGTTAGTCGTCGATTTGCTCGAGCGGGCGCCAGTAACGTCTCCATTTGTCCCTGTCGCGTGCTAGTGTAGCCCAATGGCATCTGTTCGCTCCGGGAACATGAAGGGCCTCAAACCGATCGTTCATGATCTTGACGAAGAAGTCTGACCATCTGGTAGGTGGGCGGCCACGCGGTCTTTTGACATCCCGTGGAATCCAATCAGTAACAGCTCTAGTCCAACGGTCGTCTTTAAATCTCATTACGTGACCAGCCCATCTGATTTTCGACACCTTGGCAAATGAGACAGCGTCCCTGATCCTTGATCGTCGACGGATGTCAGAACTCCGGATTCGTTCTCTCATTTGAGTGAAACGTGATATTCCAAGCATAGCTCTTTCTATTCTTCTTTGGGAGACCTGAATAGCGTTCTCATCTTGTTTGCGTAGGGCCCAGGTCTCTGAGGCATATGTTAATGCAGGAAGAACAGTGGAATCAAAGAGATGTGCCCGGAGCCGGAGGTTCTTCGTCCTCTTAGCTATTTCTTCGACGTTCTTGAAGGCGTTCCAAGCCGCTCTCTTCCTCCTGCGCAGCTCGGGTGCCAGGTCATTTGTCATGTTGACCTCTCGACCTAGGTAGACATAGCTGTTGCATTCGGAGATGGTCGTTCCATTGAGAGCGAATGGGGCATCAGGAACAAGGCTGTTTCTCATAAACATTGTCTTCGTAAGATTCAGCTGTAGTCCTACCTTTCCACACTCACGGTCAAAGTCGGCCAGCATTTGTGCCGCTTGGCTGATGTTTGGTGTTATTAAAACAATGTCATCAGCAAAGCGGAGGTGGTGTAGTTGCCGACCATCTATCTTCACTCCCATTCCTTCCCATTCCAGTCGTCGCATGATGTTCTCGAGGGTGGCACTGAAGAGTTTCGGTGAAATGGTATCACCCTGCCGCACCCCTCTCTTGACATCAACGAGTTAGTTATTAAAACACACTAACACACCTGTGTCTAGTGCAGAGCGAGCTCAAAGGGCTTTCCGTGCTGGAACCCCAGGTCAGTTCCTGGCACCACATGGTTTCCCCAGTACTGAGTACTGAGCAGTGCCAGAGCACCAAGCGGGGCATGGCTCAAAACACATCCGGGTCAGGGAGAAGCGCGCCTCTCAGGGGCTAAGGACCATGCCCTTCTGTAGGAAACGAGTCTGGAGGCGCTTGTCCAAGTCGCCAGGGAAGGCGGATATGGGACCAACCTTGGGGTTTTGTGCCTCCACCAATCCCCACCCACCCCCGTGAGCCTGTTTGTAGTTCCCAGACCTCACCTGTCTGCCTCAGGGGTTAGCGCTGACCGCAGAGCTGTCACTGCAGAGACCTTTGGGCTGAAAGCCAACAGGGCAGGCGCAGAGCTGAGCTGCCCTGGGGCCTGGCTGGCGGTGCAGGAGGGAGCCCCAGGATCCTCCCCACCCCATGGTCCTGTGCCCGCAGGGCTGCACTTCTTCCAATGCTTGCGGTTTGGTCCCTCTGAGAAAGTCCTGCTGAGCGCAGTCCCATGCCAGTTCTGCTTTGGGGGTTGTAACTTCCCCCTCCAAAGCCAGTAGGAGGCCCGGTGAACATTCCCCACCCTCTCTAGACTCTGTAATCTTACAGATTTACCCAAAGGTGAGAACTGGTGGACCTGGGCCTGGAAGGACACCACATTCTCTTCTACCTTGTCATTAAAGGTGAATTCCACATTCTGCTCCTGAGATGTTTGATTTTCTCTTTGGGAAGAAAAAAAAATTCTTTTGGTGGTGCTCAGGGTTTACTCCTTGCTCTGTGCTCAAGGATCACTCCTGGAGGGCTGGGGAGGCGCTATGGAGTGCTGGGGATAGAATCTGGGTCGGCAGTGTGCAAGGCAAGTACCCTACCTGCCCTGCTCAGGCCCCTGAAAAAAAATTTTTTTAAGTAACAGCCCCAACCCTACTTTGCCCTGACAGTGCTTGGGGGACTGTGAGGTGCTAGGGACCAAACTCAGGGCCTTGCACATGGGAAGCATGTGTTCTACCAACTGAGCTCTCTACTTCCCCCAGAGTGGCTGAATAATTGGAGGTGTGTGTGTGTGGGGGAGGGAGTACGGAGAGGTTTGGTCCACACCTGGTGGTGCTCATGGATCCCTCTTGGTGGTACTGGGAGACCATATGCAGTGCCAGGGATCAAACCAGGAACGGCTGTGTGCAAGGCAAGGGCCCTACCCGCTGTACCATCTCCAGCAACAATAGTTTCTTTCCCTCTGAGCAAAACCAATGCTCTGAGCCATCCCCATAGGGACATGGGTGCTGGGTGAGCCCACCTGGGGGTGAGTGGTGCACCCCCCTCCCCCCCACACACAGTATATACAGACACTTACCAGCACCTTTAATTTATTAGGATTCCCATGCCTAGCTAGCTATTCCACTCAAGTGACCAGAAGACCCAAAGCTCTGGAGGTGAATCAAGTTGCCAGCCCTGGAGAAAGCCTGACGGGGCATCCCTCCCCCCAGAGTCCCATCACCAACCCAAACCTTTCACATGAAAGGCAACAGCCTCCCCACCCCCGACACAGTTCAAATAAAGGCAGGGTTCCCCTCACATGCCACCAGCAGACAGGGCAGGGCGAGCAGAGGGCATGTGTGCAGGGGCTGTGACCCGGGCAACGGGTTGTGACCACGGCAGGTCCATCCTTTCTGTGGGCTGCTGTTACTCCGCACACATAGTGGACGGGCCACGGCGGCTCCTGTGCTCTGGCTCCGAGACTGTCCGCCCAACACTGCACAGACCCCGCCACGTGCCGGCTATGTGCTCCTTAAAAGAACCAAGTTGGTAAGTTGACTTCCCTTTTTTTTAAGTTTCCCTTTGTGTTTTGGTGGCAAGTGGGGAGATTTCCCTGGTAGTGCTCAGGGGCCACTGTGGCCCAGTATGGGGCTGTCTGGGAGCCACCAGGGCCACACCTGGCAGCCTGCAGACACCCCAGTGCTGGGCACCCAGCTCGGGGCCTGGCACAAAGGCAAGTACCACACCCTGGGAGTCATCTGCCTGATCTCCCCCACCCCCACTTTTGGTTTTGGGGCCACACCTGGCAATGCTCAGGAGTTACTCTTGGCAGTGCATGGGGGGGACCATATAGGATGCTGAGGTTCAAACCCAAGTTGTCCGTGTGCAGCCCAATGCCCTACCCCTTGGACCATCGCTCCAGCCCCCATTGGCCTTTCCTTTCTAATTCTTTATTTTATTATTATTATTGTTATTTTGCTTTTTGGGTCACACCCGGCAATGCACAGGGGTTACTCCTAGCTCTGCACTCAGGAATTACTCCTGGTGATGCTCAGGGGACCATATGGGATGCTGAGGATTGAACCCGGGTCAGCCGCGTGCAAGGCAAATGCCTTACCTGCTGTGCTGTTGCTCCAGCCCTTTTTAATTCTTAAAAGAAAAAATACCCTAAAACTTTTTTTCCCCTGGAGTTTTGGGGCCACACCTCGCAGCGCTTCCCTCACCCACAGCTCACCCTTAAAAAAATTAATCTGCAGAGTGCAAGATAGCACAAGTTCAGGCCCAACTCTGCAAGCAGTTGACCCCAGTTAAATCCCGGAGCACTACTGTGTGTGACCAAAAGAAAAAAAATAAGAAAGCTTCAAGCCCATCTTCAGGGTCCCCAATTATGGCTGTGGCAGCTGTTCCTGGCACGTGGCACACCCTGGATGCCCGTTGGCTCCCGGGACTCGCACCGCCCCACCCACAGCCTGTAGAGGCCACTGGCTCCAATGCGGCCCGTGTCCGCCGACCATCCTGTACCTGGGCATCTATGTTAAGGCCTTGGCTGTGATGGAGTTGCCGAGAACATGGCCAAAGCTCCAGAAACTGCCAGACACGGAGGACCAGAGGCTGCTGAGCTTCCTAAAGATGACTCTAGGATGGGGGCGGGGGGAGAAACAGCATGCTTCTCTCTCAGCCTGGGGTCTCCCCAAAGACCCCACCAGAGAGGCTGGACCCAGAATGGAATACGGGCTCCGAGAGGAAGTCCTGCATCTTTCCTGGGCCGCCCGCTCCCTTGGTCCCCCGACTTGTGCCCTGGGATGAGGACAGAAACTCAGGATCGAGGTCTGGGCTACTGCGCCAATCTATGCCCTGGCAGAGTCTTGTGTCCAGGTGGGGCTGGGCTAAAGTCCAGGTGTGCGCTGAGTACCAGCCTGCTGGAGGCCAGGGGAGCAGCACAGCTGGAGCACACGGCAGGAGAGCCCCATGACCTGGGTCTTCCCATCTCTCGGGGAGACAGTGAAGGGGCTCGGAGCAGCTCTTACCAAGGGCCGCCTACGATCCCCTCATGCAGGGAGGCCGACAAGTGAGCACGGGCACCTCTGAGCGGGCACAGGGCAGCATGTGTCCAGCCGGTGGGCTATGACTCCGTTCCTGAGGCGCCCCTCCAGAGGGAGCCTGCGGGAGCCTCAGGAAGGAACCCAGCCAATGGGGGTTGCACAGAGCCTCTGAAGGGGGGGGGGGGGGGTTGTGCCAGCGGGCAGGCCAGCCTGGATCTCACCAGCCCAAGAATCACTGCTCTTGGCTTGGGTTTCGTTAGGCCTGAGTTGAGCTTCCCCTGATCAGGAGGAGACCCTGCAAGGTCACCTCACGATCTGAGCTCCAGGGCACATGGAAGCCTGGCAGGGTGCCCTGGGGCCCGCGGGGTCAGCTGGGGGGTGACTAAGGAGACCTCGCATGACCTGTCATCTTGCGCTGGGGGCGGGCAGGGGGGTGGTCTGGGTGGGAGGACACGGCCCTTGAGGCTTCCTGGCCAGGAGGTGTTGGCCTCAGCGTGAACTTGGAGCATCCGGGTGGCAGCCGAGGCCGGGTGGGCGCTCAGCTGGCGTCGTTGATGGTCGTCCGGGAGGCCCCCAGCAGTCTCTCGCGCTCGTCCTCGTCGGCAGGGGCGCGGCCTCGGGTCAGGCAACTGAGCAGCGGCCGGTGCAGCCCGTTGTAGAGGGCGGTGCCCGCCAGCAGCACCAGGAAGCCGAGGATCTGCAGCGCCTGGAAGGACTCCCAGCCCAGTGCCAGGCTCACGGCCCAGATGGCCACGGTGCGCAGGCTGTCCAGCACCATGCGCGTGGTGGCGCTGAGCTCCTTGGTGACGCTGACGCCCGCGAAGTTGAAGAAGGCGATGCTGCTGATGTTGCCCAGCAGCGCCAGGGCAATGAGCGGCTGCCGGCCCACCTGGCACACGGCGTCGGGCACGTCCTCCAGCGTCCCGCGGGGGCTGCCGCTCAAGGGGCCGGCGGGGATGTAGTTCATGGGCACCAGCAGCAGCGCGAGGATCACGAAGCCGAAGAGGCCTGCGGAGGGGCGGGGCGGGGCGGGGTCACGTGGTCACGTCCGGCCCCGCTAGGACCCAGCGGAGCTCCCCAGGTGCCCCCTCCCCGGCTGCACCAGTGCCCCCTTCTCCGCTCAGGGATCTGTGCCCCCACTGGGAAGGGACAGCGGCCGCTTGGTGGGTCCAAGAGGCCCCGTCGTGGGGGCTGGAGTGGTAGCACAGTGGAGAGAGCGTTTGCCTGGCACGCGAGGCGTGTGCCTGGCACAATCAAGCCAGGTTCGATTCCCAGCATCCCATATGGTCCCCCCAGGACCACCAGGGGTAATTCCTGAGTGCAGAGCCAGGAGTTACCCTGTGCATCGCTGGGCGTGACCCAAAAAGCAAAGAGCAAAAAAAAAAAAAAGAAAGAAAAGAGATCGCATCTTCACTTTGACCCACTGTTCCTGGCCTGAACTCCAGTAAGGGAGGCACTGCGCACAAATGTCCTCACCAGAGCGGCCTTTGGGATGGGGCCTCTCTGACCCTGCCGAGGCCACTCGTTCCTGCCAAAGAGCACTCGGGCCCGGGAGACAGCACAGCGCCAAGGGCCCTTTGCCCTGCACAGGGGCCCAGAGCACTGACAAGAGCACCCCCCCACCCCGCACTGAAGGTGCCAGCCAGCACTGGGTGAATCCCCCGCCGAGCCAGCATGCTTGCAGCCCTCACCAGGTGTGACCCCTCCCATACAAGATCCCTCAAAATCCGTGACAAGATGGGGCGTCCTCTGCAATAAGTGTTTAGAGGCTCAGGAGCAGTGCAGGTGACACTCAGCCTGGCGGTGCGGGCTAGTGGCTCTCACTCTAGCCTGGCGATGTGGTGAGTTCTGGGAACCACCTGGCAGTCACAGGACACGCAACCCACTGCCTGGCCACCAGGTGGGAAGTATGCCCTCCGGCCCCAGCCCCTCGCCCCAGCCTGAGTTTCATACGTTTAAAAACAAATTTTGATTAACATTCACTTTTCTGCTCAGGAACCTTTAGGGGGGGCCACCCTGCATGGCATTTAAAACCTAAATCCTTTGGGGTCGGAGTGATGGTACAAGGGGTAGGGCGTCCTATATGGTCTCCTCCCCGCACCGCCAGGAGTAATTCCTGAGCGCAGAGCCAGGAATAAGCCCTGAGGACTGCTGGGTGTGACTCCCCCCCCCCCCCCCCAACACAAAAACAAATAAAATAATTCCACTAGCCCAGAAAACCCTCTGGAGAGGGAGGACAGAGTCAAGGCATTTGCCTCCCACAGACCAGCCTGGGTTCGATTCCGGCACCACCTGCGGTCCTCCGGGCCCCGCCAGGAGTGATCTCAGAGCACAGAGCTAGGAGCAGTAAGCACTGAGCACTGCTAGGTGTGGCCCCCCAAACAAAAATGAACACAAATCCACTCGGCTGATTTTCAAGGCTTACAGGAAGTGACTTTGCCCTATTTGGTCAAGATTTCCCTCACTCCCACAGCTCGCCCAGAAGCTTCCATGCTGCTTCCAGAGCAGCTACAGGCTGGAGAGGCCGCCGGGCCACTCCTGCAGGGCACCCACAGCGCTCAGCCACCCTAACTTCCCCAGGCCCCCACGGTGGGCAGTGAGGGGAAGATAGGGACACTCCCCCACCCCCCGCACCTGTGGCCCTGGCCCCGCACTCACCCTCAGTGCCGACGGCCCGCAGCGGGTGCACATCGTGCTTGTACACAAACTTCTCCTCTAGCACCATCTGGACAGAGATGATGATCTGGGCCATGATGATCAGCAGGTCCCCTGGGAGAGAGGACGGAGCCCGGGTGAGGCAGGGCTGCGCTGGGGCCATGGGGCGGGCACAGAGCGAGGCACAGGCAGCACAAGGACTCCCACAGCGCCGGGCCTCTGCAGGTCCTCGGTCTGATGTGGTTCCCCGAGGGCAGGGGCTGGCCAGTAGGGCAGTGGGCACTGAGGTTCCGGGGGTCGGAGCCTGCCAGCGCCTGAGGGCTGCTCCCAGCTTTTGCCAAGCTACAGAGTTGGGGACAGATGTCTCGAGTTCCCCCTGTGTGGTCACCCTGGTGTGAAATGATCCCTCCTTGATGCCACCACGAGGGTCCCTGTCACACAGGTCAGGGAACCTTCCCTCTTCTGCGCCTCCCCGAAGCGGCGGCTCGTCTGCACTCAGGCATGTGCACGCCCAGGTGTGCACCCAGGTGTACCTGCCCGCCTGCGTGCCTCCACATACGTGTGGAAGCAGGTCACTGCTGAGTGCTCTCCCTCTCTGAACCCCTTCCCAGCCCTTGGTGCCACTGGCCTTCCCTCCCCTCTGTCGCCCGCCCACCTCCTCACCGGCCTCCCTGGGGCCCGCAGCCCTGGACGCACGCATGCACCTGTGATCACGTCGCTGAGCTTGTGCTGGTCGTCGTGTTTGTTCAGGAGGTCGGCCAGGCCCACGATCACCAGCCCCGCGATGGTGGTGAGGATGCCCAGCCACTGGCTCGGTGCCAGCCTGCGCCCCAGGAAACCCACGGAGAACAGGCCCGTGAAGATGATCACCGAGCCCCGCAGCATCTGGAAGCTGGAGGCGCTGGTCATGGTCAGGGCTGGGAGGGGACAGGAGCACGGCTCAGCCCCCAGGGTCGGAGACGCACCTTGCCCGGCTACGTAAGCATGCGGGGGGGGGGGGGGGGAGGGGGGGAGGGGACACAGGTGGGGGGAAGGGGATGCGGAGCAGGGAGGGGGTGGCTGTGTGTGCAGGGGGCTTCTCCGGGCCTGGCCTGTACTCACCCACATACATGATGCTGGTCCCGGTCATGTCGCAGAGGGCGGGGGGCAGGAAGAGGAGGGGGCTGAAGTGCTGTTGGTTTTCCATGCTGCCATCGGGGGACCCTGCCGCTCTGCACCGGAGGATGTAGAAGACGGCCAGGCAGGAGAACTCTCCTAGGAACATGCCCACCGCCTGCAGGGGCAGAACCAAGTTTACAGCAAGGAGGGGGAGGGGGAGGAGGAGGAGGAGAGGGAGGAGGCGGAGGAAGATGAGGAAGAGGAGGATCGCCAGAAGGATTCTCCTCTTGGTCAGATGGGTTGTGGGCAGTGCAGCAATACCTGCAGCTGCTCAGCCATCTTCCAACCCCCAAAGAGTATTCTCTAAATCGGGACCTCCTCCCCCACCCCCCACAACCAGAGGTGTTCAGGAGCCCCGGGGCAACCCTGGTGATATAGCATGTGGTATGGGTCAGGCAGTGCTCAGGCCCTGGGGGCCCACTCAGTATGGCCCTGAACCGAAGGCATCACCCCTGAGTCACCTCCCCGGTCCCTAAGATATTTCTTTCTCAGTTTTGGGGCACACCCGGATGGTGGTAATCCAGGCTTCCTCCTGGCTCTGTGCTCAGGGATCACTCCTGGCGGGGCTCAGGGGAACCATATGGGATGCCGGGGATCGAACCTGGGGTGGCCACGTCCTGGGAAAGCACTTTCCCTGCCATTCCGATTTTTAAAATAGCACCTTTCTCTCAGCAACGGCTTACCTAGCTCCCGGTCCTGACAGCAGACGGTCCAGAGCTGCACCCTGAGGCCCTCAAGCACCCTGATGGAAACCGCAGGGCTACCTGGGCCCCTCTGAAAACCACCCATCTAGGCCACCCCGTAGATTAAGTTTGGGAAGGAGAAATGGAGGTGGGGGTGGAGGTGGGGGGCTGAGCGGCTCTAGAGCTTCTGTAAGATCCCGAGCTGAGCCCGCACTCCCCAGAGCTGCCATTGGGTGCCCTTCCCTGGAGGTCTGCCTTGGGCCAGGGCCGGGCTCCAGGCACGCAGAACAGGGCCTGCTCCCCTGAATGTTTTTTTTTTCTTTTTGGGTTACACCCAGCGATGCACAGGGGTTACTCCTGGCTCATGCACTCAGGAATTACTCCCGGCTGTGCTGGGGTGGGGGGTGGGGGCACATGGGATGCTGGGAATCGAACCCGGGTCGGGCCACATGCAAGGCAAACGCCCCACCTGCTGCACTATCACCCTTCCCTGGATGCTTTTTAAAGGCCTCAGCAGCAACTCTGGATGCAGGAGGAAGTCAGGAAGCAGCGGGTGGAGCAGAGAGGATGGGTGGGTACCTGGAGGAAGGGGTGATTGAACAGGTGCTCCGGGCTCTCTCCGCAGCCTTTGACGCTGAACCTGTCGGCCCACCTGCGGAGGGAGGAGAGAGGATCAACCATGTCCCAGCAGCTCAGCCACCCTGGCCCCGGAGCCCGAGGCAGACTCATGCCAAGCCTCCCGGGAGAGTCTTCTGCCGAGAAAGCTTTACTTAGGGAACAGGGGGCAGGCAAACGAGGCCCCTGGCACCCCCAATAACTGGACATGGGCCCAGAAACCTTGGCTGCCTCAGGGGCGACTGCGGTGGGTGTGGGTGGAAGCGACCCATGTCCTTGCACTCTGAGTACGACCCCTGGGCCTGTGCTGTACACACACACGGAGCCCCCGCGATGTGTATCCCTTGTTACAGCTGCTCCCCCGACCCCTGTTTTAGTAACCCCAGGCTTCATCACTGAACTGCCCCTTTTCCTCCCCTCAGAGAAGCTTACAGTGCTCCCCTGGGCACTCCTAATTCCCCGAGTTTATCTTTAACCTTTCCTTTGTGTTTTTCCTCTCATAGTCACGATTTTCTCAAGTCAGTCTCAGTTACTTATAAGTCAAAACTTCTGGTACTCCTGGACTTTGTATTTGCAGTGAATTATTTGCTTATTGTATTTCCCCTGTGGCCTTTTCCTATTTTACGACAGAGCAACGTTCTCTGCCTAAACACAGAAAGACCGTTAATGCTATGCTCCTAATATCTGGGAGATGGCTGACTCTGAAAGATACCGACTCCTGGGCATCTGTCAAAATTACTTGATCCGGGCTTTGGTGGCTGGGGAGGTCCCGCTATGAGACTGGGATGGACCAGGGGCTAGCTGTGAAGCGGCCCCGCCACTGAGATGGGACAGCCTAGAAAGAAAAGCATGGTCTTGGTGCAAGCCGTTATGACTTAAGAGACAGAACCTCCATGGGGAAGGACAAGCTGGACCAGCCTGAGGACCTAGTCTGTGACTTACGATAAAAGTCTTGCTTGTCCCTGGAGCCCAGAGAACTAAGTTTTAGAATCTATATCTCTGTGTTTATCCAAATAACTGCAAGTATTAATAAGAAGTAAACTGTCACTGTCCTCCTGTTGTTCATCGATTTGCTCGAGTGGGCCCAGTAACGTCTCCATTGGAGACTTTGCTGTTACTGTGTCCGGCATATCGAATACGTCACAGGGAGCTTGCCAGGCTCTGCCGTGCGGGCGAGATACTCTCGGCAGCTTGCCGGGCTCTCCGAGAGGGGCGGAGGAATCGAACTCGGGTCGGCCAGGCTGCCTACACGCAAGGCAAACACCCTACCACTGTGCTATCACTCCAGCCCTACTAAAGGAAAAGAAAAGCAATAAAGGTGTCCCTGGGAGACAGCGGTCTCCTTGAGTTACCCGCCCCCCGCCCCCCGAGAATTGCCTCTGCCCAAAAGCTTTACCTCTGTAAATGATCAATCTCACCTACTTACAGTGCTATACCTTGAACGCCCCAGATGTTCCAGCTCTGCATGAAACGAGCCATTTTCACCCTCAGTCCACAGCCCCCGTCTCTTTGTTCCTCTTTGTGGGGGAGGCTGGGGAGGTGGTTCTTGGCCACTGAATGCATGTGTTGCGCCCCCACAAATTTTGAACTCAAACCCCCCCAATCAGGGTTCCGTGCACTCCTCCCCAAATCACAGTGTCTCTGCTGCTTTTACCTCCCTGTGTGTACACACACTGCACCGTGTCAGACTGGATTTTTCGTTTGGGTTCTGGGCCGCCCCCAGTGGTGCACCTGTTCCCAGCTGTGCTGGGACTACCAGGTGGTGCCAGGGAACAAACCCAGGCCTCCGACATGTGCAGCATGTGCTCCGGCCTGCCGAGCCGTCTCTTCCATCTCACAGATTTAATTAAAAAAAAAAGTTTCCAAGGTCGAAGTGACAGTACAGCAGATAGGGCGTTTGCCTTGCACACCTGGTTTCGATCCCTGGCATCCCATAGGGTCCTCTGAGCACCGCCAGGAGTAATTCCTGAGTAACCCTGAATATCGCCAGGTGTGACCCTGAGTATCACTGGGTGTGACCCAAACAACAACCACAGGCTTCCTGAACTTCAGCAACTTTCTCCTCAGTCTTTGCCCAGTTTGAAACACCCCTCTCGAGGCCAGAGCGATGGTGCAGCAGGTAAGGCAGCTGCCTTAGGGAACCCCAGCTCAATCCTTGGCACTTCAGATGGTCCCCCATGTCCTACCAGGAGTGATCTCTGGCTACTACCAGGGGTGGTCCAATCCCATTGTCCCCCAGTACAAAGCAAAAGAAATAAACAAACATGACTCCAAGGCCTCAGTCGATCGTTAACAGACTCATGGCACCAGCACAGCCCAGAGCCCCCTCTGCAAGCTGCCTGGTCCCATGTCCCTCAGAGAGCCACGGGGTCATTCCCAGGCCAGCTTGAAAGCAGGCCAGTCCCAGAGCCCGCAAACTCCTGGAGGGTCAGCCGCAGTGCGTGTGCATCCCCACTGACCAGACGGGTTGCCCGGCATCGCGCACTAAGGCTCCTATGGTCAGTCAGGCCTCTGCGTCTAGCGCGGGGAGTCTCTTGACGGGCAGCTCTGCAGGGAGCTGGCCCGTGCACCCTTCTCTGATTCTCCCTCCTGGCTCAACAGCTTCGGCCCTTCCTGACAGCTGGCTCCTAGGGCCACTGACTCCAGGGGGGCTCCCAGGGCTCGTGAGCTGGCCAGACCCTCTCTTCCATGAGACCTGATTGGCAGGCGGGGTGCTCTTGCAGGTTTGGTTGGCTCTAGTGGAGGACCAGGCTCCTCCCTGGCCAGCTGCCTGCCCTGGGGATGCTGCTATCTGGAGGACAATGCCTGGGGCTGATTTTTCTGTTCCGGTTTTTGGCCCCCCCCCCCCCCCCCCCCCAGCAATGCTCAGGGGTTAGTCCTGGCTCTGTACTGAGCAATCTCTCCTGGTGTGCTTGGGGGACCACATGGGAAGCTGAGGATCAGACCTAGGTGGGTCGCATGCAAGGCAAACGCTCTACCCACTATAATACTGCTCCAACCTCCGTGATTTTTATTTTATTATTTCTTTGGGGGTCACCCCCCTACTCACAGCTTTGTGCTCTTGGGACCACATAGTACAGAATCAAGTCGGGTCCCCTACATGCAAAGCTGGCACTCGGTTTGCTCAGCTCTCGTCCCAGCTCTAAGACTTCTTTGTGTGTGTGTGTGTGTGTGTGTGTGTGTGTGTGTGTGTGTGTGTGTGACAACCGTTGGTGCTTGGGGCTTACTCCTTGAGGTGCTCAGGTCTCACCTTGGTGGTGCCAGGGACTGAAGCCAGCGTGAGTACAGGTCAATGTGGAACGTAGAATGCATCTATCAGGGTCTGGCAACAAAGGCCCTCCGAGTTCCCTTTATGCCCCTCCTGCCTCAGTGTACCTCAAAGTACTGTCAGAACACAGCCGATTCGCTTGCTCTTCTCCCCTTCGTCCCACAGGTGTGCTCTGTACCCCTCGATGGAGCCACAATTTCTGATGACACCTCCCTGCGGTCCTCTAGGGTTAAACAATTCAATCTCTTTGCCTTTTCGCCTAAGATGGTCTCAGTGTGGCTGATGAAGCAGATTCCGTTACAACGCTGTCACTCTGGTTCCAGACCTGTTTTTCTTAAATGTCCCTCCCTAGCCTGAATAATACAGGCACCATGGGCTGGTGGCTTCTTGGCTAGCTCATTCTAACGACTAGCAGTGCCCGAAGAGCGCCCAAAGGCCTTCTCCCTCTCCCCTGACCCTTAGTACCACCAGCAAAGGCCACGCCATGCCCAGAAGCTGGGGGCCGGGTTGGCAGAGATGCTGTCCAGGCCCTGAGTTTAGAGGGGGTAGAGCTGGGCTCAGGGCCCTGGCACAGAGGCCAGGCCGAGAGGTTGGTTTAGCTCCTGGTCAAGTGTGGAGCCCAGAGACGACAAGAGAACACAGCCCAGTCACGCGTGTCTCCGGACCTTGCAGAGAGGAGACCCTGGCCCAGGCCCGGGAAGCCCAGAAGGGGAGGCAGAGCTCTGAGGGTCTGCGGGGGGCCGGCTGGGAAGGCAGAGAGGAATCTGGGTTAGGGGTCCAGGCTGCAACTGTGCCACGAGAGGCGTGAAGCCGGGCACGCAGCTGGCTCAGGCATGTAGAGCCAAGTGCCCGAGTCCAGATCTTCAGGCAGGCGGGCGGACGAGGAGGCCCTGCCAAATTCTGAAGGTCAACCAGGAGCCCAGGGCAAAAGAAAACCACTTCCTCATCGGAGCTCACCCTGACCCGGTGCTCCCGAAAGCCGACTGGGGCTGTTACAGTCGCCAGCCCCAGTTACTCACTGAGGGGACGTGAGCTCAACATCTGGCACTGTCTGCCAGGAGGGTGCCGGCGCCCAGACACCATGCCATGCCATGCCTCCCACCGACTCTGGGTGGGGCACTAGCAGGGGAGCTGCCTTGGGGCTATCCACCCTCTCCCAGCGCTTGCATGTGCCTGGACAGGCTGGGCTGGCAGCATTCCCGGGAATCGGGAATTGGAATCCACCTGTATCCCAGGCCTGAATCAGATCAGGTGTCAGGGGGCCCGCCAGCCACCAGCCCGGGGCAGAGAGAAGGCCAGGCCTGAGGATGGTTCCCAGCACTGCCGGGAAAGGTCAGCGGAGCAGCCAGGCCACCTGGGGGATGATGACCAGCCTCAGGCGAGAGATGGGGGCAGGGAACGGGAACACTGAGCTCTTTGCAAAAGCAATTCACAGATGTGGTCTTTGTTTTGTTATTTTTGTTTTTAGGCCACCCCAGACACGCCTGGGGACTCTCCTGGCTGGAAGAGGGAGGGGGGAGGAGGGATGGGATGGGGAGGGAGGGGTTTGCTCCCAGCAGGACTGGGGACCGCACCTCCAATCTGGGCTTCCTGCATGTAAATCCTATCCTCAAGCCCCTTTTACGATGGGCCCTGTCACTAATCTGCGTCTGTACATGCGCAGTCCACTGGCTATTGACTTCACTGGACTTGAAGCCCCGGGTCAAGAATCTGTGTTGTGGGTTGCAGGGGGATAGTTCAGGGGGTGAAGGGGCACGGACAGACGATCCAGATTCCCCACGTGGTCACCCGAGCACCGCCAGGAGTGGCCCCAAAGCAAAGATACAAGAGAATCTGCCTTTTACCCGGGAGGGCGACCACTGTCACAGTCAGTGAAGAGAAAGTCCAGGGCCAACTTGGTCCGTGCAAATTCGCATTCCACAAAGGCGCGGGGCATGCAGAAAGCCCGGACTTCAGAGTGTCCCAGGCTGTGCAATTCAAGTTTGCTCTCTGGGGCTTGGCAGGTGGTTTGGCGGGCCGGGGCTCATGCTTCACCCGTGGGACCCCCAGGTTCAATCCCCAGCACCACACAGTCTGCAGGATGCTAGCAGCAGCCCCCTGGGCACTGCTGGAAGTGTCTCGCTTTCGTGTCAAAACAAAAACAGGGAATCTTCTTATCTATCACACCGGGACAGTAACTGTCAACATAGAAGAACTGTCAAAAATCAGAAGTGAGATGTGCAAAATCTTGCCAGGCAGGGCAGGGCTGCAAATCCTTTTCTGGGGAGAGAGCTCCCTGCGCTGGCATGCAGGTTATGCATGCAGGGGTGGAGCCTGGCACATGCAGGCCCCAGGCATGCTGGGGAGTGACCCCCACCACAAGCACTGATGGGGAGCAGCCCCCAGGCCCTGACACAGGAGGCCCCCAAGACAGCATCAATCTTTTTCTGCTATCTGCACTCTGCGCTGAGTCCAGAGCACACAGTCTCTGGAACCTTCTCTGCTGGCGGAGTCAGGAGCAGCTGGAGGACCATCACAGTCACAGTCATCTTTTTGTTGTTGCTGTTTGGGGGCCACACGGCATACTCAGGGCTTACTCCTGGCTCTGCACTCAGGGATCACTCCTGGTGGTACTACTAAGGGGACTCTATGGGGTGCCGGGGATTGAACCCAGGTTAACAGAGTTCAAGGCAAACGCCCTACCCGCTGTACTATCGCTCCAGCCCAAAGCTCCCATCTGAAAGCAGTCAAAGGCCCCTGGAGAGTGTCCTGGGCTGCTTCTGCCGGGGTGAGTCACCCTGATGTGGCTATCTCAAAGCTCAGCACTCTGCAGGGATGTGTGGTGGGTGGTGGCTGGTGACAGAGGAAGTGGCCCCAGCGAGGGTCACACTTCCCAGCAGAATCTCGGCTGCTTCCTCCTGGCGGGCGGACTCTGTTTCTTCTTCCTGCTGTGGCCACGGGCGTCTCCACTCCCCCGGAACCCCTCTCGTCTGAGTCTCAGGGACCACCCACCTCGGCAGTGAATCTGTGTGCAGGGTAAGAGCAGGGAGAGCTGCTCCCCTTCCCAGGTGCGCCCTAGTCCCCCCCACTTACAGACGTGTGTCCTCCCAGACCACCCCACTGACCTCTAGCTGCCCAGACCCCTGCCTGCTCCCGGCGCTCAAGGTCAGGGGGAGGGATCACTTCCGGGAGCACCTCTCTGGGAAGTCAGGCCTAGCAAGGCCCCTGCACCCCCAGGATCCCTTCCTGGCTGGGTGAGCTTTAGTTTGCCAATGTTTGGGGGGCGCTCGATACTTCACACACCAGAGAAGGGGGTATGTATGTGTGGAAACGCTGGGCCCCAGATATGCCCGGGGTCGGCCTGAAGCAGCACCAGGTGAAATGGTGGGTCTCTGGGAGAGGCCTGGGGACGGGGAGCCCCAAGAAGGGAGGCCCCCTGCTGAGACCCAGCCAGGGCAGACCCATCCCTGAGCCGTTGGACAAGCAGAAGGGCCTCCTGTGGGGCCACCTGGAAGTCCCCTCACATGCGCGGCGCGTGCTCTGTCCACTTCCTCACACATCTCAATCTCCCCACCTACCACGGGGAACTGGGCCCGGACACCCCAGAGGATCGGTGGGAGGACCCGAACCCCGAAGCATGAGCGAGATATTGGGTACTGTACCTGCCACAGAGGCTGGTGGCCCTGGCCCAGAGGGAGAACCCAGGGGGCCTGGCCACTCAGCGAGTGACCACGTCCTTGGGTGTGGGACTCCCCTAGAAGTGGGCCCCGTGCCAGCACCTCTGGTCAAGGGAGCTCAGGACTCCAGGGAATAGTTGGAAGGAACTGGGGGCCAGCTAGTCCTAGAGAAAACCAGCAGTGCCCGGATATTCACCTGTATGTGTATGTGTGTGTGTGTGTGTGTGTGTGTGTGTGCGGGGGGGGGGGGGGGGAGGGGGGTAGGGTGTTGAGGTTGATGACAAGTGCCACTGCCCCACGCAGTCCTGGGCGCAGGCTCGAGACAGGCAGGAACTCAGCCCCTTGCTGGCGGAGTTGAACTTGGGCAAGCCATTCCGTCTGTCCAAATCCCAGCCTTCCAGTCTGTTTCAGGGGGCAGGAGGGGTACACCCAGGGGTGCTAGTTGGGGATGCACCTGGGGGCCCCAGCCCGCCCAGCCTGGCTCCAGGGCTCATTGTCATCTGCCTGCCCTGACAGCAACTCCTGCTGGGGGGAGGGGGGGAGAGGTTATTCCCACAGGAGACGCCGAGTTCTGGGCTGGTCCCACTCTGCGGTCCCGGCTGGACCCTGAGGACCCCTCAGCAACCACCCTCACCCCCATCAGGCGACAGGGCAAAGGGTGGCACCGAAGGTTGGGGTCCCCCTGGGGGCCTCTTCCTGCTCCCAGGCAGCCTCTGAGGGAGGCCCGGGGCCATCAGGGCCTCTGGCTTCTGACCTGACCTGTCTGGAGCGTTTATGGGAGACGCTGAGTCAGCCGTTTGTCTCCCAGTGACTGGCAAGCACCACTCTCCCTGGGGACCACCGTCCTGGCAGACCCTGGCCACCACCAGCCCTTCCCTGGCCCTTTGACATTTGTGGGCTACTCCCAGCTTGGTGCTCAGGGGACCACATGGTACAGAGGCCTCCCATAACAAGGCCATGACCCAGGGCCTCCCACAACAAGGCAAGTGTTCTCTGAGCCACCTTCTCCAAGGTGGGGGCTGGCTGGGTGGGTTCCCAGCGGGTGGTCTTAGTGGGTTGGACCCAGCCAGACAGTGCAGACAGTGGCCTCCCACTCATGTCTCCAGGACAGGACGGGACACTGCCCCCCCAGAGGGAGCTTCCTAGACCCCCTCATCTGTCAGGGGATGCCTTGTCGATCCCTCCTTCCCCTGGGTCACCAGGCTGATGGGGACATTTTTCAGGTTCCCCCCACTCACTGTTGGCTGTGTGGGGACCCCCCCTCTAGTAACACAGATGGGAGTGGGGCCTTGGGGCAACCATGGGCTGGCACCTGGGGCTAGGCATGTGCTCCTGTCCTCTGCGATATCTTGGGACCTCAATCTTAACGTTTCTGAGGTGGTTTATTTTATTTGGGGCCCTGTGGTGTTGCTCAGGGGGTTACTTTTTTATGGGGGGGGGGCACACACCCTCGGTGCTCTGGGTTTCCTCCTGGCTCTGTGCTCTGGAATTAACTCCTGGCTGGATTGGGAAACCATATAGGGGTGCCAGGGACCAACCAGGGTCAGCCAGTGTGCAAGGCAAGAGGCTCTACCTGCTGTCCTATCACTCTGGACCCCAAATCTTAAGACTCTCGCTCACAGGCTCAGCTTGAAAGACGCCCCATTGATTATGGGGTAAGATCCAGCCCAGGCCTCGTGGATGGGCTGGTTGTCACCCATTTGGCCCAGGCCGGGCTGTTCCCGTCTCCCGGGCAGAAAACACTCCGAGGTTTGGAATCGGCGCGGCCACCCCTCGGGGAGGGGCCTGCGGGGCACCCGCTGACCACTGACCGCCTGCGCGGGCCCCGCACGCTCGAGGGTTACCCGCTGGCCTGGGCGCAGCCTCCCGGGCCCCCCCAGGCCCACACAGGAGAGGAGCCCGGTGGCCTCCCTGAAAGCAGAGGACATTGGGGCGCGGGGCTGGGGGGAAGGGCCTGGGCAGGACCCCCGGCACACGGGCAAACTCGGGGCTCACTTGCCCCTGCCCGGCTCCGCTCTGCGCCTCCGGGGCCCCCGCAGCACCCCAAAACCCATCGGAGAAGCTGGGCGCCCAGGAGAGGCCCGAAAAGGCGCACCGGGACGAGGGAGGGAGGGGAAGGGCCGCGGGGGGATCCCCCACCCCAGCCCCAACTCGCCCCGAGTGGTCGCAGCGGGTCAGCAAGGACCGTCCCCCCACCCCCAACCGCCCCGGCCCGGACTCACTTAGCCGACAGCGTGTTGATAGAGCCGGTGACGAGCATGAGCCCGGCCAGGAACAGCTGGTACTTGGTCCAGGCCATGACGACCTCGGCTCGGCGCCGTCCCCCCAGCAGCGGCTGGACACCGGGTCCCCCCTGGCCCGGGTCTCGGCGGCGGCCGCTTCCGGGCCCGAGTCACGTGACGCGAGGCCCCGCCCCGCGCCGGGTAGCCGAGCTCCGGGCCCTTGCGGGCCGCGGTCGGAGCTCTTGGGCTCCGGGGCCCCTCCGGGGGTGGGCGGATGCGGGGGGCCGGGGCCGCGGGAAGGGCCGTGAGCTACCTGCGGGGCTGGGCCTGGTTGGAGCCCGACCCCCGGGGCACAGATTCACCGTGGGAATCCGCGCCCTCGGGTGCCCCGGGGGACGGGTCCCCTCCCTCCAGGGTGCTGCCCCTTCCCGAGAGGTGGTGTCGGGGCAAGGGGAAGGGGTGTTGGGGCAAGGGAAGGGTTCCAGCACATCAGGGGGGAGATGGAGCGGTCTCAGGCTTGCCCCCGGACCCCCGCGCTCCCCCTACCCCACATCCCCTCCACCCGCGCTCCCCCTACCCCACATCCCCTCCACCCCCACCCCGTCACTGCTCTTTGCCTGGATTCCTGGCTAGGCTCGAGAATCCCCGTGGATTAGTTCTATTTGTTTGCAGCACTGGAGAATGTCCGGCTCTGGGGCCCGGAGAGATGGTACAGAGCGAAGGGCGCTTGTTTTTCACACATCTGACTGCTGTTTGAGCTGTCCCGCACACCATGTGGTCCTCCGAGCCCCGCCAGGGGTGTTCCCGGAGCACAGAGCCAGGAGTAGGCCCTGAGCACCCCTGGGTGTGGCCCAAAAACCACAAAACAGAACACGACAACAACAACCAAGCCCTGACTTTGAAATTCATATACCTGATTCTCAGCACACACACCCCCCGCCCCCAGCCCCTGTCATCCCCAGGCCTCTAGGCTGCACCCCAGGCCCTGGAACATGCAGGCTTATGGGCGAGACCTTAGGGAACTGCATCTGACCCACTTCTGCCTAGACCAGGCTTCAGGAGGTGCCTGGAGGGAACCTGCCTGCCAATCCCTTCTGACCCGGAGATCACCTTGAATTTAGGAAAATGAAAAGCTCTCAGGGGCCTGGGCAGGCCCTTTGAGGGAGCCCCACAAGTTGGGGGGTGGAGTTCTGCAAAACACAGAGGGATCCTGGGTAGACAGGAGAAAGGCAGGAGAAAGACGCTCCGCAGGGAGTGGTCTGAACCCGCAGGAGGCTTGAGGGGGCATGTTGTGGGGTCCCTCCTTCTCTGCCTCCCTTCTTGTTCTCCTTCCTTCCCTCCCTCCTTCCTTCCTTCCTTCCTTCCTTCCTTCTCTCCTTCCTTCCTTCTCTCCTTCCTTCCCTCTTTCCTTCTCTCCTTCCTTCCTTCCTTCCTTCCTTCCTTCCTTCCTTCCTTCCTTCTCTCCTTCCTTCCCTCTTTCCTTCTCTCCTTCCTTCCTTCCTTCCTTCCTTCTCTCCTTCCTTCCTTCCTTCCTTCCTTCTCTCCTTCCTTCCTTCCTTCCTTCTCCCCTCCCTCCCTCCCTCCCTCCCTCCCTCCCTCCCTCCCTTCCTTCCTTCCTTCCTTCCTTCCTTCCTTCCTTCCTTCCTTCTTTCCTTCCCACACCCAGCAGTGCTCAGGGCTTTCTCCTGGCTCTTCACTCAGGGATCGCTCCTGGCGGCCTCAGAGGACCATAGGGGGTTGCTTCAATCACACCCAGGTCAGCTGCTTGCCGGGAAAATGCCCTCCCCATGGTCCTATCTCTCTGGCCCTTCCCTTCTTTCCTGGAACCTGATGGCGGAGAAATTGGAGACGGGGAAGCTTCCCTCCAGCCGCAACAACACGGCTCGTGTCTGGTAACTGCAAAGGAATCAATTCAGTTGTCTAAACATGTTTACAGAGGCATGGGGGGCTCAATGCATGGTGGATGGACAGGCAGACAGACAGACAGACAGATGGCTGGCTGGCTGGAAATAGCTTCTGCCCTTAGACTAACGGTTCACACCCTCTGGACAGTGCCATTCCCACGGGAGGCAGAAGCCACATTCAGTGGCATGCTGGGTCATTCTGCCCCCCCCCCCCCGTGTCCAAGACAAGGACATTATCCTGAAGCCAACATAAATAATGGTCAGTGCTGTCACCAGCCGGCATGATGTCACTGGCACAGACTTTGTCCCATCCGTGTGCATTGTAATTTATTGTGGCACTCTGACTATTTGCCAGTTTACTGTCTCTGGCGTCCAGGATTTCCTGACAGATATTCCCAAACATCCACTGGACACCAGCCCAAGAGTCCAGGTATGGTGCTCAAGGGAAGGCCAGACATGTACCCTTGAGGGGTACTGGGCGTTTAGGGAGGAGAGAGGGGACCCCCTAGGGAAGTGTGTGAGGTAGAGAGAGCTGGGGAGAAAGAGGGAGCAAGGGCATGAGGGTGTGTGTGTGTTTCGGGGAAGCAGAGCTGTGCTGGGTACCCACCTGTGCTGGCATTGAGTGTCTGTGCTCCCCACTCTCACCATCACCCCGTGAAGCTGGAGTTCAGGGCAGATTGGAGGCAGGACTTGAAGGCCAGTTTTCTTGTTTTTGTTTTTTGGGCCACACCGGGTGCTGCTCAGAGATCACTCCTGGCTCTGCACTCAGGAATTAACTTCTAGCGGGCTCAGCGGACCATATGGGGTGCTGGGGGTTGAGCCCAGGTTGGCCACATTGCTCCAGCCCCTGAAGGCTAGCTTTCTGACCTTTACTTATTTGGGGCCTTTATTGGGGGCTTCATTGGGGGTTGAGGGGTGGGTGGGTGGGGTGCTGGGATTGAACCCAGGTCTGATGCATACCAGGCTGGCGTTTTACCATTGAATCACTCCAGGCTGAGTGTGCATGTTTTTGTACAAGTTTGCATGTTTCCTTCAAAGAGCCTCTAATTTCTAGAGTAGGATAAACTGCATCCATGGCAGCGTCGGCATTTGTGGTGAGCCCAGTTCACTGCCCACTGGTTTGGAAGGGGCAGTGCTTCCTGGTGAGCGCAGGCACACTCTGCTGGGTAGAGTTTCCCGACCCGAAATGGATAGTTCGAGCACAGGCCGTGTTGGTAGACTGTGGTGATCGTGCTCTCGGCTGTGCATGCCCTTGGCCATTCCCACCAGGGTCACTGTTTCCCCAGAAGATGACGTCGAGGTGGATGTCAAAGATTCTCTGCTTGCCAGGCCGCACACGCCCTGCTCCTTCTCCCGGCCCACCTGCAGATCTTATCGTGGCCTTCCCACTTTATCTCGCTCATATAAATGCATGCTTTGCCTGCGGGACCCCCGGTTCTGTGCTTTATAAGAAACCCAAATTTGGTGTGATTTTCACACCCTCCCCGCTGCCACCTTTTCCTGGCTCACGGTTTCCCAAACCCTTAGAATTTCCTACACTGTAAACTTGTTTCAGCTATTGAATGAGGTAATGTTTGGAAGTACCCAAGGATGGTGCTGGCCGTCCACCTTGTTCCGTCCTCCCCAGACTGCCAGGAATGGGGAAGGGCTGGGGACAGTCATGGCCAGGGGCTAATGGAAGGTAGAGGAGAGGAGCAAAGGTCCCGCTTTGCTTGCAGAACCCCAGTCCTATGCCCGCTTCCACTTGGTTTCACGAGTGTAGGGCAGTCAGGAACTGTCCCCTGCATGGCCAGGTGTGGCCCCCCAGGGGACCAGAGCACCTTCTCATGCCTGAGTGCCTGGACCCCAAGTTCCAAGAGGACAGACAATCCTTTGTTCAGGGACTCACCCCATGGGGCTTTCCATAAGCTGTTGACTCAGTTCTTTCGTATCCGTGGCAAGGAGTTGGTGACCTTGGGCAGCGCTTTTGAAAAATCTCCCACCCTCCTTCACTTGAGAAATGTTTACTCGACCCCTGGGGTAGGGGTGCCGCGAGCAGGCAGACAGGGATGCAGACAGTGTGGATTAGAAGAAGTCACGATCTCCAAGCCAAACCAGTCCAAAGACATGGAGGTCTTTGAAATGCAGGAAGGCCATCGAGAGGGCCAACATGCAGGAGAACCAAGCTTGAGCACTGGCTGCACGGCGCCCGCCCCCTCCCCTCGGAGAGAGTACAGGGAGCAAGGCTCGCCTTGCATGCAGAGGACCCCAGTTTGAGCCCCTGCATCACATACGGCCTTCCAGCATTGCCAGGAGTGATCCCTGAGCACTGCTGGGTGTGCTTCCCGCCCCCACCTCCCAAAAAAAGGACCATCAACAGTTCCAAATTCTCCCCCTCGACTGTCTCCTAGCAACAGAAGGGTGGGAGAGGGCTGAGTCTGGGGAAACTTTATACAAATTAACTTTGCAGAGTCCGAGCCTGCAGTGGCCCAGCCCAGGTGGTGCCCACATCTCGGCCTGAGGTGTTGGTTTCCTCTGACTGTGGCTTTCGGGCTCCATCTCGGGGCTTCGTCTGCATCTCTGCGAGGGACAGGTTTTGTTGGCCATATTCTTCATGGTGGGAGGTGCCGGCATCTGGATTGCTCATCCTGGATGCATGCTGGGCTCTGTCCTCTGGAGGAACCCACGCTCTCTCTTGAATATGTTCTCCCCACTTTCTCTTCCTCATATTTTCCAAATAAATGTATCTTACTTCACTATTTGTCTCCTTCCTGAATTTTTTTTTTTTTGCCAGGGCAGGTCTGAAAAAGACCTGGGCAGAGGTCAGGACTGAGTTTTCCTCTTTCCTTTAATTTTTTTTTTAACCACACCCAGTGGTGCTCAGGGGTTACTCCTGGCTCTGCACTCAGGAATCACTCCTGGTGGTGCTCAGGGGACCACATGGGATGTCGGGGATCGGTCCAGGGTCAGCTGTGTGCAAGGCAAATGCCCTACCCGCTATACTATCCCTCCAGCCCCCTGAATTGACCTTGTCAGGGTTTCCAAAATCCTTAGAATTTCCTGTGCTTTGAGGAGCAATTCTTTGTCCCAGCCTGAGTTCTACAGCTCCTACAGAAATCGGGTGGCAGGATTAACTCCCAGGCTGTGAAGATCAGGTGGGACTCGAGAGCAGTCCAGCCACTGCGTAGGGGCTCTTGGTGGAGTTGATCAGTCCCTGGGCCAGTAATCAATGCGGTGAGTAAAGAG